TGGTTGGTAGTTTTATGTAGCTTAGATGTTTGTTTTTTGTTTTTGTTTTTTGAGACAGAGTTTTGCTCTTGTTGCTCAGGCTCAGTGCAATGGCAGGATCTCAACTCACTGCAACCTCCGCCGCCCAGGTTCAAGCTATTCTCCTGCCTCAGCCACCCAAGTAGCTGGAATTACAGGCATGTGTCAGCACACGGGGCTAATTTTCAGTAGAGATGAGGTTTCTCCATGTTGGTCAGGCTGGTCTCAAACTCCCAACCTCAGGTGATCCACCCGCCTCGACCTCCCAAAGTTTTGGGATTACAGGCATGAGCCACCGCGCCTGGCCATGGCTTAAACGTTCTGAATGATCTGGGAATCATGAATTTTCTATCAAGTCAGGGGCCAACACCAGCATCCTGGAGAACACAAAGATGGTTCACTCATTGAATGTGGGCCTTAGTGGCACTCGTTTCACTGTAGATACTAACAAGCAAATGTGGCCAGGTAGTTGGTCTCTTTCAACCAAACACATTAGGCAAAACACACAGCTAGCTATCAGTTTGGGGAGTTCATGGTATTTGGCTCCAACACATCCTAACAAACCCTCCTATAACTACCTACAGGGGGCAGTGCTTCTCAAGGCTAAAGTGTGGCTGCTGAGTTCTTATTCCTAAATGAACCATTGAGTAGTCTGTGCCCTCTGGGCTTAAGACATGCTTTTATACAGTCAGCAATGACTGTAAAAAAAAAAGGAAACCTGCCCGGTTTTCACTAAACTAGATTCTTTTAGTTTTATAGCATAGTTCACCTACCACAGCGGAGAATGGCATGACCAAGTATACAATGTAATTTCTACGTAAAGGTAGGAAAATTAATCTCAGATTATATTTAGAAATTATCTTATTGTACCATGATATAAAATAATAACCTACTATGCCAAAAATTTTAGAAAAAAGTTAGCAGGGAAAGTTGTGTATTTACCATGAAGTACGGGCATATATTTATTCAAAACAAGTATATAGCAGTCTTATTTACAGAACCAAGATGAAAGTCAAAGGAAGGATTTCTCTAAAAGTTTTTACATTTGTTATATGAACTTAATATATAATGGTGTAAGCTAGTAATTACATCTAATGGCAATTAATATGTATTTTATTTCGGGAGGCTGAGGCAGGAGAATTGCCTGAACCCAGGAGGCAGAGGGTGTGGTGAGCCAAGATTGCGCCATTGCACTCCAGCCTGGGTAACAAGAGTGAAACTCCGTCTCAAAAAAAAAAAAAATGTATTTTATTTTATATACATAAAACATCATGTTTATTGAAACTGTTATGCAATTTCAATTAAACTGGCTTGGATCTTATGCATTATCATCTAACATTGCGTGTATTTTTTAAAAATGAGTTTGGTTAGCCCTTTTATGTTTGTTTTTTGTTTGTTTTCCAATGGAGAATTTTATTGGCTTGTCATTAATTTTGAGTAGAAAGTTAACAGGTATCTAGTTTGTAAAAATGTATTTGTTTATTTCAATTTTTATCCAATCAAATGTATTTTCTTTTCTTTTTTTTTTTTTTTTTGAGATAGAGTCTCACTCTGTCACCCAGACTGGAGGGCAGTGGTGTGATATCCCCTTGCTGCAGCTTCCACCTCCTGGGTTCAAGTGATTCTCGTGCCTCAGCCTCCTGAGTAGATGAGGCTACAGGCATGCGCCACCACACCTGGCTAAATTTCATATTTTTAGTAGAGACAGGGTTTCACCGTGTTGGCCAGGCTGGTCTTGAACTTCTGACCACAAGTGATCCACCTGCCTTGGCTTCCCAAAGTGCTGGGATTACAGGTGTGAGCCACTGCGCCCAGCCTCAAATATATTTTCTTTTTTAAAACAGGGTTTCACCATATTGGCTGGGCTGGTCTTGAACTCCTGACCTTGTGATCCACCCGCCTCAGCCTCCCAAAGTGCTGGGATTACAGGTGTGAGCCACCGCACCCAGCTTTGTATTTTCTAATAAGTTAAAAGGCCAAAAAAAAAAAAAAAAAATCTGGCAACTTCTAGCTTCTTATTCAAGTCTTTGTATTCCTGTTGCTACTATAAACAAACAAACAAATAAAGCCTAAATACATTTACCTGAGATTTTATTAGAAAATTCTTTATTTCATCTTATCATTAAGCTACTTGGTGGCTTTCCTAGATAATCATACACATTTAGCTCTCCTATCTTGACTTTATTCCACATTCACATATTTGTTCACCTTGAAAAAGTATTTTTATGTTATCAATACACTGTATGCTTATTGCAAAAAATGTTAAAAAAAATGTATAATCCTGCTACCCAGACATAATCACGTTAATATTTTGTTATATATTTCCTAAGGCTTTTTTCTGTGCATCTATAGATATATTTTACATTTTACATTGTGGATATCACAGTGCATAAATAACTTTTTTTTTTTTGAGATAGAGTTTCACTCTTGTTGCCCAGGCTGGAGTGCAATGGTTCTATCTCGCCTAACTGCAAACTCTGCCTCCCAGGTTCAAGTGATTCTCCTGCCTCAGCTTCCCAAGCAGCTGGGATTACGGGCATGCACCACCATGCCCGGCTAATTTTTATATTTTTAGTAGAGATGCGGTTTCTCCATGTTGGTCAGGCTGGTCTCAAACTCCCAACATCAGGTGATCCACCTGCTGGGATTATAGGCGTGAGCCACTGTGCCCGGCCCATAATAGCTTTTTATCCTACAATTTTCTTTCTTTTCTTTTCTTTTCTTTTTTTTTTTTTTTTTTTGAGACAGAGTCTCACTTTTGTCACCCATGCTAGAGTTCAGTGACTCGATCTCAGCTCACTGCAACCTCCACCTCCTGGGTTCAAGCCATTCTTGTGCCTCAGCCTCTTGAGTAGCTGGGATTACAGACGTGCGCCACCATGCCTGGCTAATTTTTGTGCTTTTAGTAGAAACGGGGTTTCACCATGTTGGCCAGGATGGTCTCGAACTCCCAACCTCAGATGATCCGTCTGTCTCGGCCTCCCAAAGTGTTGAGATTACAGGCATGAGCCACTGCACCTGGCCATTATTCCACATTTTAAAATAGAACATAATCATTTTCTTGGGATTAAAAAAATTAAAAGTTTTGGCTGTCTAATTTTCTGTCTATGTTGTACCACAACACACTCAACTATTTTTTGAGTGTGTTAGGGTACAAACACACATTTGTGTGCTGTGGCCAAAGAAAATATCTTTTGAACATTGTGTTGTTTTCTATTTTAAATTGTAAATAAAGAATGTGATGAATTTAAATAAGCTCCCATCCAGGGCTACATTTCAGTTCCCTGTCCTCCTCCCCCCCGCCACCTTATACTATGTACACAGTATAGATTGCTGGAAGTTGAATTACTTGATCTAAGGGTATGAATATTACTGAGTTATGTTTCCCACTCAAATTCATATGTTAGTTAGGCCTAATCTCCAATGTGACTATATCTGGAGAGAGGGTCATTAGGAAATAAAGTCACAAGGGTAGGACCCTAACCAATAGAAAGACTACTATAGTCTTATCAGTCTTATAAGAAGAGAAAGATATTTCTCTCTCTCCCCTGCAGCCCTGCTCTGTGAGGACATAGCAAGAAGGCAGCCCTCTATAAGCCAGAGAGAGCCCTCACCAGAAATCAAATCAGCTGGCACCTTTTCTTGGACTCCAGCCTCCAGAACTGTGAGAAATAAATTTCTATTGGTTAAGCCACCGAGTCTATGGTATTTTAATTTTATTATGGCAGCCTATGCAAACTAATAAAAATGCATTTGTTTTTTTTTTTTTGGAAAGAGTTTCCCTCTGTTACTCAGGCTGGAGTACAGTAACACGATCTCAGCTCACTGCAACCTCTGCCTCCAGGGTTCAAGCGATTCTGGTGCCTCAGTCTCCCGAGTAGCTGGGATAACAGGCATGTACCACCATGACAGGGTAGTTTTTGTATTTTCATTAGAGATGGTGTTTCACCATGTTAGCCAGGTTGGTCTCAAACTCCTGGTCTCAAGTGATCCAGCTGCCTCAGCCTCCTGAAGTGCTAGAATTCAGGTGTGAGCCACCACGCCTGGCTTAAAAACATTTTTAAAGTTCTTGACACATGTTGATAAATTACTTTTGAGAAAGAGGTTACCAACACACACTACTCTGGCAGTATATAAGAAGCTCTATTGCCCTGTACCCTCAACAACATTCAAAAAAAATTTTTTAAACTTCATTCTAAAATATATATGTTTAAAGTATTTAAAAGTTCATACTTTTAAAGTTTTGTTTCATCAAAATTGTCTTCATTTTTATGGCATTGGCCCCTGAATCTGCCCATGTATTTTCAAGTTCCCAGTGTAGTAATATTTCATAGAAATAAAAATGTCTACTTGGGAATCCCAAAACAAAGCAAACAAACACATACAAACATTTAAAACTTTCAGCATTTTATCATTTCCATTTTTATAGTTATGTAAAGGAAAAGCTAAGAATTAAAAACCTGAGATTGTTTCAAGGCCATGTAAAAACAGGATCAACAATCAAAGACCATGATACAGGCTCTCTGATTTAAACCACTCACCTATTTGGAACAGAAAGATTTCATATTTGTTAGAAAGTAGTCATACCGAAAAATTGCCATAGAAGTGTAAATACATTCTCCCTTAATAAATTTAAATAAAGCCCTTACTTGCAGAACACTCTCCTTTTCTTGTTAAACACCGTAAATTATTATAGGTTTCATGCACAATAATTTTCTCTCCTGCTTGAAATAGAAATAAGTGATTTAAGAGATATGTTGGAGTTTAAAACTAAATTCCACTTCCCCATCTAGTTTTATACTGAGAACAGTGTAATGTACTCTCCACAAAATGCAAATATTTGCAGTATTAATTAGTTTACAATTAAACAGCAACAGAAATTTGCCAATTAATGCCACTGATAATTATCTTGAGGACAAACTCAGGGTGTTGTGACTTTATGTCTGACTCACTTTTCCATTCTTACTCCATTCTTAACTCACCTGTTCCATTCAGTATTACTTTACAGTACATCATGGACTCTTTTCCTAACTTGGCCTTGAGTTGGCACCAAGTGCATGGAGATGAAAATATCTTTCACGTCAGTCTGTCTTGCCTCATAACATTCTCAAGCTGTTTTCCCCATTTTAGCATTTCAAGGGCAGTTCTCTCCTACTGGGTCCTCTTAAAGAGGTGCCTGCAGTTGATAATAGAAGAAAGAAAAGAGGAAATTAAATTCACCTGTTCTGATCAAGCAGGCAAAAGGGGACAATCCAATGTCAAACAAAAGATATTTCAAAAGTCAACGGACTTTTGTTGTCTGAAAAGCCAGCCAGAAATGTCCTCAACCCAGAAAGTTTTTCTTATGGGCTCTGAATGTGCATCTTAATGTTATTTTTATAACATCAATGTTAGTTTTTATCTACCATAAATAGAAAAAAAACCCCACAACAACAAACCACTGAGTTGAGGAATTGGAATGATGATTACAGCAGTGTGATGAGTGAGTAGGGCATGGAATTAAAATGTCAGTTCTTCATATAGAAAATGTTACATTTCAGAAAAGAAACCCTCCATGGTTCTAAAAAGAAGTCACTTCAGTGATACTTTTTTTTTTTTTTTCAATTTAGAAGTTCAGGGGTCAGAGGTGTTTGAACCAGAACAAACTCCATCTTGAATAGAAGCTTGGTAAAATAAGGCTGAGACCTACTAGGCTGCACTCATTAAAGTATTCTTAGTCACAGAATGAAATAGGAGGTCGGCATAAGATATAGGTCATGCTGGGTGCCGTGGCTCATGTCTGTAATCCCAGCACTTTGGGAGACCAAAGCGAGTGGATCACCTGAGGTCGGGAGTTCGAGACCAGCCTGACCAACATGGAGAAACCCTGTCTCTACTAAAAATACAAAATTAGCTGGGCATGGTGGGGCATGCCTATAATCCTAGCTATTCGGGAGGTTGGGGCAGGAGAATCACTTGAACCCAGGAAGCAGAGGTTGCAGTGAGCCGAGATTGCGCCATTCACTCCAGCCTGGACGACAAGAGTGAAACTCCGTCTCACACACACAAAAAAAGATACAGGTCATAAAGACCTTGCTGATAAAACAGGTTGCATAAAGAAGCTGGCTAAAACCCACCAAAACCAAGAAGACAATGACAGTGACCTCTGGTGGTCTTCACTGCTACACTCCCAACAGCACCATGACAGTTTACAAATGCCATAGCAACATTGGGAAGTTACCCTACATGGTCCAAAAAGGGGAAGTATAAATAGTCCACCCCTTGTTTAGCATATAATCAAGAAATAACCATGAAAATGGGCAATCCTCAGCCCTCGGGGCTGCTTTATTCCTTTTCCTTCTTAATAAACTTGCTTTCACTTAATAAACTTGCTTTCACTTGCTTTATGGACTGCCTTGAATTCTTTCTCCCACGAGATCCAAGAACCCTCTCTTGGAGTCTGGATCAGGACTCCTTTCCAGTAACAGGGGTATAACAATTCTAATTTCTTAAATATCTAATGTGTGCTATAAATTGAACAGAAAAGATGCAAATAAGTGTCCATAATTTACTTGAAATGAAATTAGGTTCAAATTTAATTCTTCCTCTGTGTTCATTTCAGTGTGGAAAATGCCTATTTTAAAAAAATAATTGTATAGAATAAAGATGTTTCCTTATATTAGGTTCTAATAAAATTGAAAGCAGGCTGGAAAGTAATATTTGCATAGTGTCGGTTGAGACTTTTAGAAAAGACTTGAGTGTAATTTAAAGAATATTTTGATTCCTATAGAAAATTAGATGGTGTTCCTCTTCTTTCTATTGACCTAAATGTACACCCCAGGATAAGTGGTATCAGAGGATACCTTAGGAGAGGTATGGCTATTCCATGTCACTACACTTCAGCCAGGTTCTAGAGAATTGAATATATTGTTATTTTCCGCCAAGAAAGAACTTTCTCTAATAAAACATAAATGTGACATAAAAATGGTAAAACAGCTTTGTCAAGAGTGTCCAAAATTATATGTTGGCAAATTTTAGACAAATTAGATGTTATCAAGCCCCTGATCCTAAAGAAAAATAACAGGGCTGGGCATGGTGGCTCACGCCTGTAATCCCAACACTTTGGGAGGCTGAGGTAGGATGATCACTTGAGGTCAGCTGTTTGAGACCAGCCTGGCCAATATGGCAAAAACATGTCTCTACTATAAACACAAAAATTAGCTGGGCATGGAGGCAGATGCCTGAAATCCAAGCTACTTGGGAGGCTGAGGCCCAAGAATTGCTTGAACCCAGGAGGAGGAGATTGAAGTTGGCAGAGACCATGCCACTGCACTCCAGCCTGGGCAACAAAGCAAGACTCTGTCTCAAAAAAATAAATGAATAAATAAATTAATTAATTAAATGAATGAATGAAAAATAACAGTATTAAGTGATTAGTTTGTACTAGGCTATATACTAAGTGTGTCACTTGTATTACCTCAATGTAATACATTGGGCTTACTATTATGCTACAGATGAAGAAACTGAGACTAGGAGATGTTAATTTATCTCCCCGTGATTATACAGCTAGTATGTGTTGGAACTGTGGTTTCAATCTGCATCTTTAAAGCCGCTTTAATGTTTCTGTCCCTGTGCAAAATCTGTAACCACTGAATGGGTTCATCCTGCCTGCTACACAGATAAAGACCACAGCATTGCAGTGAAGAAAGAGTTTAACTGGCGTGAGGCCAGCCATGCCACATGGCCACACTGCATGAGAGACAGAGTTATTACTTAAATCAGTCTCATAGAAGGATCCTAGGTTAGGGATTTTGCCAAAGGCAGTTTGGAGGAAGGAAGGGGGTGGCTAAGAAATTGGTGTTTGCTACTGATTTAGTTAGGTCAGAGATAAAATTATAGAGAGTTAAAGCTGTCTTCTTTAGCTGAGTCACTCCTGGGAGGGTGGGCACAGGAGTGGTTTGGTGAGTCCAAGTGGAGCCATCAGTGTCAGACAAGCAAAAAAACCTCAAAAGATACCTCAAAGGCCAATATAAATTGTGATGTTTTCTGCAGGTGTTAATAGGGAAGTTTCATATCTTGCTGTCAGTCTATACCTTTGCAGAATTCAGCTCCTCTTCTCCCCCTCCCTAGCTTGGTTGTCTGTCATTAGCTTTACAGGGTGGTTGAGTTTTGGAGAAAGGGCTATTATCATTTAAACAATAACCTAAACATCTTCCAAAGTCAGCTCAGGAATAATTTTTTTTTAATTGCATTTTAGGTTTTGGGGTACATGTGCAGAACATGCAAGATAGTTGCATAGGTACACACATGGCAGTGTGTTCTGCTGCCTTCCTCCCCTTCACCCACATTTGGCATTTCTCCCCAGGCTATCCCTCCCCAGCTCCCCCACCACTGTCCCTCCCCTATTCCCCCCAATAGACCCCAGTGTGTAGTACTTCCCTCCGTGTCCATGCGTTCTCATTGTTCATCACCTGCCTATGAGTGAGAATATGCGGTATTTCATTTTCTGTTCTTGTGTCAGTTTGCTGAGAATGATGTTCTCCAGATTCATCCATGTCCCTACAAAGGACATGAACTCATCATTTTTGATTGCTGCATAATATTCCATGGTGTATATGTGCCACATTTTCCCAGTCCAGTCTATCATCGATGGGCATTTAGGTTGGATCCAGGTCTTTGCTATTGTAAACAGTGCTGTAATGAACATTCCTGTGCATGTGTCCTTATAGTAGAATGATTTATAGTCCTTTGGATATATACCCAGTAATGGGATTGCTGGGTCAAATGGAATTTCTATTTCTAAGGCCTTGAGGAATCGCCACACTGTCTTCCACAATGGTTGAACTAATTTACACTCCAACCAGCAGTGTAAAAGTGTTCCTATTTCTCCACATCCTCTCCAGCATCTGTTGTCTCCAGATTTTTTAATGGTCACCATTCTAACTGGTGTGAGATGATATCTCACTGTGGTTTTGATTTGCATCTCTCTAATGACCAGTGATGATGAGCATTTTTTCATATGTTTGTTGGCCTCATGTATGTCGTCTTTTGTAAAGTGTCTGTTCATATCCTTTGCCCATTTTTAAATGGGCTTGTTTGTTTTTTTCCTGTAAATCTGTTTGAGTTCTTTGTAAATTCTGAATATCAGCCCTTTGTCAGATGGGTAAACTGCAAAAATTTTTTCCCATTCTGTTGGTTGCCGATTCACTCTAGTGACTGTTTCTTTTGCCATGCAGAAGCTGTGGAGTTTGATTAGGTCCCATTTGTCTATTTTGGCTTTTGTTGCCAATGCTTTTGGTGTTTTGGTCATGAATTCCTTGCCTACTCCTATGTCCTGAATGGTTTTGCCTAGATTTTCTTCTAGGGTTTTTATGGTGCCAGGTCTCATGTTTAAGTCTTTAATCCATCTGGAGTTAATTTTAGTGTAAGGTGTCAGGAAGGGGTCCAGTTTCTGCTTTCTGCACATGGCTAGCCAGTTTTCCCAACACCATTTATTAAACAGGGAATCCTTTCCCCATTGCTTGTTTTTGTCAGGTTTATCCAAGATTGTATGGTTGTAGATATGTTGTGTTGCCTCCGATGCCTCTGTTGTATTCCATTGGTCTATATCTCTGTTTTGGTACCAGTACCATGCTGTTTTGATTACTGTAGCCTTGTAGTATAGTTTGAAGTCCAGTAGTGTGATTCCTCCAGCTGTGTTTTTTTGCTTAGAAGTGACTTGGCTATGCGGGCTCTCTTTTGGTTCCATATGAAGTTCATGGCGGTTTTTTCCAGTTCTGTGAATAAGGTCATTGGTAGCTTGATGGGGATAGCATTGATTCTGTAAATTACTTTGGGCAGTATAGCCATTTTCACGATATTGATTCTTCCTAACCAAGAACATGGAATGTTTCTCCATCTGTTTGTGTCCTCTCTTATTTCGTTGAGCAGTGGTTTGTAGTATTCCTTGAAGAAGTCTCTTACGTTCCTTGTAAGTTGTATTCCTAGGTATTTTATTCTTTTTGTAGCAATTGTGAATGGCAGTTGGTTCTTGATTTGGCTCTTTTTAAGTCTGTTATTGGTGTATAGGAATGCTTGTGATTTTTGCACATTGATTTTATACCTGAGACTTTGCTGAAGTTGTTTATCAGTTTCAGGAGTTTTTGGTCTGAGATGATGAGGTCTTCTAGGTATACTATCATGTTGTGTGCAAATAGA